TCAAGAAGCATGAAAAATAATTTTTAATTGACAATTCAGTGAAAACCTTGGAATTTTTAGGTTGCCCATTAAGTCCATTTGTATTTTAGTGTATTCTAAGAAGAAAATTTACATACATTGCCATCAATTGCTAATAAATGAGTCAGATCTTTACAGACTGGTATAAATTTATCAAAAATGTTTTAGATCATTAAATCCTTGGTCAATGACCTTCTAATCTCCATAAGTGAATAACAACAACAACAATAATAATAGATAAGATTACATAATTAGCTCTAATTTAAAGAGTCTCTAATATAAAAAATCAAAAAATATTTGCTGCATGTATTTAATAGCCCTGTAAACTTCATTTACTGCAATGTGCCATAGCAGCATTGCTCAAACATCTTTTTTCTTTAGTGCTACTGAACACTGCTACATTGCTTTGTATCCAAGCATTTCACGAGCAGATAAAAGTTTTTGATCTTTTTTGCTTAATTTTTGTATGAAAGATGTAGATCCTTTGAGTCAGTCTGGTCAACTGACTTTGTTGGCCTTCTTGAAGTAAGCCAACTAGGCAGTTTTCAATTGCTTTTATACACCTCAAGGTTTAAAATGCTGCAACAGTTACAAATCCAGTACAATTTCTAAAATTGTTAGTGGCAAAAGACCCTTCTCCCTTCCACTACTAGGTTCCTGCAACCTTTTAAGATGCTCTGGCACAGGTGCTCTGTTTGTCTTGCTTGAATTTAAAGTGCATTTCTGCACAGCAATCATTTTACCTGTCCCTGCAAGGCATGCTGAAGGTGGAAGTCCACCTGACGACTCTGCTGACATCTTAGACAGAAATTTGTCAAAGTCAGGAGCATGTCAGTGACAGATGCAAAGAAGAGCATCTTCTGCTGCTGCTTAGCCTGTTTTCCAGTAGTTAGGTACTGAATGGTCTAGGAGTGACCTGCCAAAAATGTGGAAAGAGAAACTACCTTTTTCAGAGCTCTGACTTTTAAGTCTCATGGCCTGGGAGAAAGAAGAAAGCAGTCAGCATGAAGGCAGAGCGAGTCCAAGTAAAAATTTGGAGAAAGAAGAGGACAGAATAGGAGTGGGGAGAGGGCAGCAGCCAAGACATCTGGATCTGGTACTGACTCTCTTTTCCTTTCTATTCTATAATCACCCACAGATTGTGACATGAAATACAGAACCTCCCTCACTTCTATGTCTCACTGCTAACAGAGACTCCCTTGTGCTCTCTTCTAGGATGAACTAAAGAGTGGCTTCGCTACAGAGAAACAGCTTCCGACAATTTATTGGGAAGATGCAGGTCCCACAACATCACTGGAGCTTCTTTCCTGTCAAATAGCTTCAAAATGAAGAGAACCTTTGAAAAAAATCTGCTATGTTACATATAGTATATCACAATGATGCAGACTGAATCACAGCTGAAGTATCAAGACATGGAAAGGGATGTGAAATGGAGCTGCTCAGAACTTGATTATACTTCATACTGCTACACCATGAACATAAATTCAGCTGCTACTATGCTTTGCACAAACCTGGACTTCATTCCACAGACCAGAGCAACAGCAAGATCATTGAGAGATAAAGCAAAGAGCTGTCACCAGCAGGACTTCAGCTTCATTACTCGTTTGATCTCATACAAGTTGCTCCAAGAAAATTTTAGAGAACTGGTTGTTATTGCAAGTTCCTCAGTTTCTATGTACACAGTGCAAAGCAAGAAGACAAATTTGGCAAAGTAACAACAAATGTGCCACTCAAAAGTGCAGGAGGTGCTTATTAGTGGGAATAAAACACCAGGACAGACATCTTAACCTGAGAATTTAAGATAAAGGGACCATTCCAACAACTAAGCAATTTTATTTCTGTGCCTCATTTCCCCTATTAGTGGATAAATATGGTTGATATTCTCTTTGAATATTCATGACAATTCAGAAATAAAGACTTAAACACATAGAAGAATTTAGAGAAAGAGAACTCGGTTTAGGTCCAGACAAAAAAAGCATAAGGAGAATTTAGCAGTTCTAAGTTAGTACCTGTAAGAACATGCATTTAACCCCAAAGGTTCGAAAATACATTGATTAGATACCAGGTTGGCAAAATAATCAGTAAGGGTCTCACAAAAAAATTACATGATCACGTAACTAAATGCATTATGGTAGAACAACAATGTGGTCCCTCCTGACTTCTGCTAAAGAAGCAGCATTACAAGCAAAATACTCAGTGGGTTTGTTTTTCAGCAGTAAATATAACCAAGTACCTTTGACTTTAAAGAAAGTGAATTTGCATAGCAGAACAGGAACCTGTCCCATATGGTCTCTAGTATATCTTCACAGCATCAATTGTACTGCAGAAACTACATTCCTGACTACAAGGGGCCAGCAAACAACCAACTGAAATGGCTAATTAGACAATAATATTTTTTTTATTTTCCCTGAAACAATAACAATATTCAAAGATGGGAAATTATTAATAAAAAAGAGATGACTTAAGTTGCACTTAGTCCTCTTATCTGATTCAACTCCAAGTGTTTTCAATACAACAAGTGAGATGCAGGTAGTATTGCAGACTCAGATATTCAGATTAAAGAACTCGTTGGGTCATTTTGGAGTGCAATCCCAACTAAATGACAGGCTCCCCATCCACTACTGGACAAGTCATCACTAACCTATTAATGTCCCTTAGACATGATGCACATTCATGAGAGAAGTGTCATTCATCTTGATGTGTGCTTATGCACTTGTATGTGACCATACCACGATTCTCCTTGTCATCAGGTACAGAATGGCTCTTCATCCTTTTATGGATAACACTGAGATATTTTTACTGGGGCTGTTTCAAGGTCAAGGAGTTTGTCAGTATGACCCCAGAGCTAATTCCACAAAGACAAGTGAAAAGCAAAACACCGCAAACCATTTCAAGGCGTTCTTTCTAGCAATACCACAACAAGCATTCTGGTTTATCCCACACTGACGTGCCATTCTTCTTAAGAAAGGCCATGTCCACACCACAGCATGTTATTACAACAGATGAAGGGTACAGGAACCTGACAGGAGCAGTCCAGAGTTCAACCCCTTTCTGCTTTAGCACAGTACTTAACACCATCTCAACACAGAGTATGTTCTTCCTTTTCTCTGTGACCCTCAAACAATGAGTAATGATACCCTGATATTCTACGGCACAGCCCTCTAGAGAAGGGGAGGCAGCTTACACTTTCTGTTCATAATATTCATAATGAACATAGGGCCAGGGACTTAGCAAGTGACTTGAGTTTACACAGAGATGAGAAACATTAGAAATTAAAAGAAAAGCAAACAAAAAAGGACCAGACAGCTTAGATAACTACAGATACACAAAAATAGATACAGGGTTTAAGCCCTTTCTGCAATATTATTTACTTACCTACCCTTGTAACAGTGAAAATTTCTCATTTTGACTTTTGATGTTTATTTCCTTACAAAATTTTCCCTGTTAGAAGCCTTTTTATAAGTTAGAAATTTTAAGAGAAGAACTGACTATTAGTTGTATGTGATGGTTTTGTCTCCATGTCAAAATTGGCTGGTGTAATTATTCAGTTACTGCTGCATCACCAACTTCTTACTCTGTGGATGTTATTCTGGAATAAAACTGACTATTGTAAAATACTACAATTACACTTTTCTTAAAAAGCAAAGCCATTAATCACACTCTTTTCCTGGAACCAGTGCTTCCCAAAACCTACACTTTGTATATAATCTTTAAATATAAACCTTTACCAATACAATGCTAATCAAAATAAAATTTACTATGCTGTTAAAACTCATTTCCATTGCTCTCATCCCCTATACAATCTTTGTATTACTTATTTTAAATAATCTTCTAGAAATGAGACATTTTCTTATGAACTTACTACTGAAAGGTAGTTTCACGTAATAAACACTTCACAACAGACCACAAAAACATACGGGAGTATCTTTAACTCTCCCTGCACTTAGGACAGCCAGAAACATCTGTAGTGTAAGAATGCAGAAGAGCAAAGTAAACGGGGTAAGAAGTTCACAAGGTTTGAAAAGTTGGGGGGTCCTATGGATACAAGATAATTTTCTAGTTTCTCCTGGCAACAAGCAAGAGCACTGAAAGCACAGAAGCACTGAGGGTGCAATGACAGAAGAGCAAGTACAAAAAAGGCCCATCATTCACTGACTTCAAGCCCAGTTACTCCAACCAACCCCACAGTTGTATCCATTTTCAGAACCAGAACCAGGCCCTCAACTACGAATTAAATAATTCAGTAGCATACTTGACAATTTGACATTTTGATACCTCCCATAAGGAATAAGCAAAGGACAAGCAAACACCAAGTTATCTGGAAGGCACCATCTACCTGTAACTTTATTGAGACAGATTTCAGCCCCAGCCCAGAAATGGTGTATTAGGAGGTCACAGGTGACATTTGGGAAAAACACAAATTGCCTTGCCTCGGTTGACCTAGTTAAAATTAGAGGACTGCAGCTATAATTTTTTTGTCATTGCATGTATTAGTGTCAAGCCTCTCGTTACACTCTGTTAGCGCCTAGGAAGGCAGGCGGCAAGTGCTCGCCGCGGATCTCCAGCAGCAGGGCCTCCCTGGGCCGCCCACCCGCGGGGCCCTGCAGGGGCGGAGGGGCCGCTGCCACCCTCCAGCCTCAGCCCGCCCTCTGCCAGCGCCGGAGCGCTCCCGGCGGCCGCGCAGCCCCGGCTCCGCTTCCAGCGGGCACGGAGGCACGGAAAAACCCCCACGGCACCGAGCCCGGCGGCTCAGGGGCCGCCCAAGTTTCTGTCTCTCGGGGAAGGCGGTCTCACGGCCGGCTCCCTCCCGAAGAGCAGGCTGCCCGCCCCGCGGTGCCGGGAGAGCAGGAATCGGACGGCGGCGGGGCCCCTCAGCCCCTCACGGCTCCCCCGGCGCGGCGGGGCCGCGGGCGCACCCTCGGGAGGCGCCGCCCCCCGCCCCCGGGGGCCCTGCCCGGATGGGCGCCGGAGTTGGTACATACGGGTCTGCCGCGGGAGGCGAGGAGAAGGGTGTAGTTTGTTTTAAACATGGCTTGCCTCTCCCCTCCTCCCTTTTACTCGGAGACATCGCTCCGGCGCGGCGGGAAGCGGCGGCGGCGGGATCCGGCCGCCCCGGGTGGGGGCTGCCTCCTCCCCGCCGCGGCGCCGGAGTTTGCGAGCAGGAAACTCCTCCCGCGGGGGCCAGGGGCGAAGCTGCAGCCGCTGCAGCGCTTCTCCCCGGCGGCGGAGGGGGAGGAGGAAGGTGGGGGCTGGAGTTGTGATAGCGACTTCACCCCCCGGGGAGCGGGGCGACACCGCCCCGCGCGGCACCGCGAAAGTAAACAGGCGGCGGGGAGCGGCGGGGCGGGCTGCGAGGGGGCTTGCAACAGGCAGCAAAATGCCCGGGCTCGGGAGCCATCCGCGAACCCCAGCGCGGAGCGGCGGCGGGAGAGCGGCAGGAGAGCGGCGGGCGCCCCCGGCCCCTGTCGCGCGTTTCACCCGCCGGCCGCCGCTCGACCCCCGCCGACCCCACCCGGGGAGGCAGGACCCGCCGCACCCCCGGGGCGCCTCACCTTTCTCTTCGGCATAATGTCCCTGCTCCGGGCCGCCAAAGTAAAGCGACCGAAAGAAGCTCCGGCAGAAGCGCGGGATCCGCCCGGCGGTGGCGGCGGCAGCGGCGGCGACACCGGCGTGGCTGGTGCCCGCAGCTGTGCCCGCGCCCGGTGCCGGGCGGAGCGGGGCGGCCGCGGCTCCCGATTGGCTCCCCCGGCGGCGCCGCGCCCCCCGCCCCGGCGGCAGCGGCTAATCACGGGCCCGGGATTCTCCATCAGCCGTCGGGAAGGCGAACCAGGCGGAGGTCTGGGCGCGTCGGGCAAGTTGCGTGTGGTGAGCGGCGAACAGCATCCGCTCGTAAAGCTCTGCAGTGGTCCTTGTACAGGTGCATTATTTCAGCCTGTCTGAATTTACCTTCGTTTTCTCGCTAGGTTCCGGTTTCCCCTCCTCGACTGAAATCAGCCGCCGTCTTTCTCCATCGCTGCTGTTCTGCCTTTTTCAACCCGGGGGTTTGTTTTGCTGTGCAAATCCGTTCATGCTCCAGATGCAAGCATGCTGTTTTATCAGGTCTCCTCATTACATTGCCCTGATAAATCACTAGTAGTAAGACAAACCAGTGCCGCTGAGAGAAACACTCCATTACAAGGTGTTTCTTGTACACTCCATTACAATCAATTCTTCATGTGAAGTTAAAATGCCAGCTACCTTTTTTTTTTTTTGAGAAAAATACAAGTGGTTGACTTGTTCACATCTTGAAACTAAGCGATCCCTTTCAAGTACCTGCAGAAGAAGCAGAACAAAACCCAAAGGTTTTCCCAGGGGTTGGCCTCCTGCCTTTTAACCAAGAGCTGTGGTTAGGATGTGCATGGAGCATCATACAGCAGTCATAGACCTCATTTTCCCTCTTTACCTGAGGGCATTTGAACTTATACCTCTCGTTCTCCCACAATGTTATTTTGACAACAGACTACGGCATCTCTGGAGCAGGAGCGGTTAGATCCTAGTGTTGATAAGGTTTCAAGAGCTTTGTTGAGCTTAAACAATTTGTACTAATTAAATAATTTGTACTAATAATTCACCAGGGCTCAAACTCAGCTGGGTTTGCTCCCAGTTACATGTGTAAACCACCAAATTAGGGGGTCACACCCACTTGTTTATGTGCTATTCATGTATATTTAAATAGTTTGTACAAAGGGGTATAGTTCCACACAGAAAGACTGGAAATGTGGCCTGTAACAGGAGATGCCTGTGTTAATTAGAAATTAAGGCTCACCTTAACATAGTATATTGCCTTGGTACTGAGTAACATAGGAAAGAAACAGGTCAAAATTACTCCGTAACTTAACTTTTCCGTGTTTCTTTTCCCACCTGTTCTCCATTTTTCCCAGGTATCTTTAGTCATTCATGGATGATGGGAGAAACCCCCTGCAGCTTCACTGTGTACCATCCATTCAGAAGGAGAAAACAGAGCTAGCCTTCCATTAATGCAGATGAAATGTCACCCACAGGAAAATTATGCACATGTGCAGGGATTTATTCCTATGACATCCGAAAAGTTTGGATTAGTCTCACATGTCATTCCAAACCCAAATAACCTGGGGAGGGGGGGAAATTAGAATTTTTTATTAGTTCTATTGTTACCTTCCTTATTTAATTATATGTCTTTTCCATTTTGTCTCCCTACTTTTAGACTTGCAGGATAATTCAGGTTGAAAGGAATCTCAGGAGAACGTCAAGTAAAACCCTCTGTTGCAGAGGGTTTACTTTACTTTGCCCTCTAGAGCAGGCACCTGAAGACTTTGCCAAGTTCAGAATGTCTCTGCAAGCAGATTCCATCATCTTTCCAGACACCCTTTGCTGGTTCTTTCCCTGCATATGCATAAGCTCAGTTCTAAAACTGTCCCCACCCAATTTCCACAGTCACTTCAGTTTCATTAAATTTGCAGCTAGGAGACAGCAACAACAATTCCATGAGAGCAGTAGGAGCCTGGTAACAGGCAGAGAGGAAGTCCAGTAGACTTGAAGAGGTAATTTTCCCTGGATTTATGGAAAGGGGAGAAGCAATTAATTTATAGCTATCTACAACTAATGAGCAGTAAGAAGGAAAAGGAAAATTTTAGCAGTGAGACAGCAAGAGAAAGGACTGGTAGAGCCAATAACTTATTTGCAAATGCCCTTTTTCTTCAATTGAACCAAATTCAGGTTCAATGGAAACATTGTACCTCAGGGTGAAATCATTCAGGAAAGTTGCTGATGGGTAGAAGAGTCCAGTTGGTCTCTTTTTTCACTCCCTCAATATTTTCTGCATCAATACTATTTTTTTCTGTTTGCTTTCTGTGACTGCAAGTCCTATCTGGTCTCTGGACAATGGCAGGTTGCAGGTGAAATTCCCAAAACCTGAGAATAGAAGCAAGTTGTTTTTCTGCTGTGTATATACTCATTCCCTCTTTGTCTGTGTGACACTTTCTCTGTAACAAAATTTATGTTCAGGCTGGCTGGCCTGCTGCTACAGCTTTCAGTTAAAAAACACACGAATTATCAGGTAGCTTTATCTTTCTGCAGCTGTTGTCTTTTTCCATCATACCTGACCCACTGAAAGATGCCTCTGGTCTGAAAAGATCTGATACTAACAAGAGAAACACTGATCTCTAGGAATTCAGAGGAAAAAGGCAAAAATGCTCCTTTCCAATATGTGGTGAAAACTTCTGTACCACAGACGTAGGCTCTGCTAGAAAAGCCATGCTTTGACCATATTTTTGGTTGTCATAGAAATTAGTTTATTGCTTAACTTCACAACTGTTTCTATTTTTTAGTAATTAGGGGATGCAACTGTAACACACTATCACTTTTCTATAACAACATTTAAGAAGAACACAGATCAAAGTAATTTAGCTCTACATCACATTTTGTGTCAAAGGTATGCTGGTTGCTCTACAGAGCCACCCTAAAATATAACCTTGGAACCGTCAAAAGAGACATTGTTGTCAGTTCCTCGTAAATGAGTATGTGGCTGAAGGCAAATAATTCCAAATTGTGATGATAAGGGGCTACAGATACAAACTAAGCAGTCTCAACACACTTCTTGTTCCATTCTTTCAAACATAGGCACTCTGAAGTCTGGTAACTATTTTATTATCATTATCAACATCTGTTGCTGTATAGAAATTTCTGTTACTTCAGAATTGTTATTTGTAAGTAAAAATAATCTATGACATTTACCTTTGAAAATAAACCTGTCATGCAGTTCAATTGGTAGGAAGAAATTCAGAGAAACAATTTAAAATAAATTTCAGAACAGCTTTACGTTTTATCTTCAAATAAGACAAATGTTCAAGCACTCCAAACTACTATAATGATGTTTTTCAAGCTATCAAGCTTTTGGAACATATCATTGTATTCAGCAAAGCTGCTTCTACCTCTGTTTCATGGACATCTCTACCACCTCAAAGTACTACAACCACACTTTAAACCTCTTGAACTTTCATTCAATAGTCCTCTGCACAAATACTACAGGGAATAGCAAAAAACAGATATTTAGTAGCTAGTTACTACAAAACAGAAACAAAGCCAACTTTTCCACTGTACTAATCAACAAAAGTGCAATCAGTTTCACACATATTGGAAAGGCAGTTAAATTTAGAAACCTAATTAATTTTTTTCCATTAATTTCTCCTGATTATTAGCAGGAACAGAGTATCTGGTATACACAGTTTCCATACAAGTCAAGAGGAATCAGATCAATGAAGTTTGGAGTAGAAGTGGGCTAACGTCATAGAACTTGGATTGCTTTGGACACTTTCATGCTATGATCAGTTGATGATTTGTCAGCATTCAAGATCACAGACTCACACAACTTTTAAGGTCACAGAATGACTGAAGTGGGAGGGGGCCTCTGCATATTTTCTACTCCAACCCTCTATTGAAAGCAGGGTCAGACACCACATTCAATTGCATTGAAATTAAGTAAGAAGCACACCACATCCAGCCCATTGTCAAATAAGGCAACTGTGTGCCATTCAAGCTCTCTAACATTATTACATAATTCCATGAGACAACTCATTGCCCACTGTATACAAGCTCATTGTTTTGCATGATTTGCTGAAGCAAGAGCAAAGGCTTTCATCTGTCTCAGCTTCAGTAACACCACTAGCCCAGGCATTCCAAGTACTAATATGAACACTAAGCTGAGACAGATAACATTATCACAGTGTTTTTTCTCTCTCTTGTCTAAGGTCTTACCTTCTGTTTTCCTTGCATGCAAAAGCTGGTCCAAGAAAGATTCCACCTTTTGAGATAAAGTAGTATTAAAGGTAGTAAACCTTGAATTCATCTAGATGAACAGGGGAAGAGTTTCATTTCAGTTACACAAGAATTCAGAGAAGTGATTCTATCATCTTAAATCTTCTGTTGAGCAATTCTACTTGCAGTAGCCCTGCCTTCAGCATTCTGTCTCTAGTTCTGTGTCAGCCCTTTCTGAACATATATGCTCACGTTTCCAGTGTGATGTTAGTATTTGGTTTATAAATGCAGGAAACTTAGCTGGAATACACTACTTTCCACATTTATTCCTAACATGTCTAAGTTCTTCTAGAATGAAGTAGCTAAAAAATTAGAAAAGAGAACTATCCTGAAGCAATTTCTAGGAGAGAGTTTATATCAAGCAGACTGAAAAAGACATAACTGCTCTTCAAAAGGCTTTAACAAAGGTCTCAGGTGTTGCTTCATCTACCATTTAACCAGGTGAAACCAAAGATCCCTATCAGGTCTACCAGTATATCAATTTATGTGGCCACACCCTAGTTCACTACTTATCAAAGTGGGTTAGGTTACAAACACAAGTGTTTGGAGGTATTTAATCAAAGTACTTTAAAAAAATGAGGCTAAGAGCAAGCCCAGTTACAGTGTGGGTTTTGGGGATATGCTAAGATCCAGTTAATGAGACAGGGAAGAAATCTGTAGCTGGAGCAGTAGACCTTATTTAGCTCCTACTGGATCAGGCTGC